GCTGGAGTTAGAAGATTTGGCGGGCAACTCTTCTCGGTAGAATATGAGGGGGAGGGAGCATCTTTAGAACTTGTCGAGGGTGGCACTCATGTCAAATTTAGTCTCTATTAACTGCTAAAACCTTCTCTTTACCGAACCTACGGTGCACTTGTTAAATCCACCGCCTGAAATAACCATTGCTATTGGGAATGACTCCTAAGGACTGTGTGATGATAAGTACATGGGGACTTTATTCATGTTAGAGAAATAAAAATCTTTCGACCTCGTGACGCTCATAGCGACATGCATGAGAGCGTTGTTCGGGGAGGTACATGTTTCCTCGACTTGTTTGGATTCAGGAGTGTCTTCCCGGGGAGATTCCTTCATTTTGTACTGTTTGAAATGACCATCCTGGATGAGAATCTCAACGTCATTCTTAAGGTGGATGCAGTCTTCCTTCGCATGCCCGTGACTTTTATGAAACCGACATTACTTGTTTTTGTCTTTCCCTGGCTTGGACAGTGTTTATTGGGGAAACCGGACCCGAGCTTGCTTGAATTTTGCGTTCGTACAGTCATTCAAAATCTTCTTGTGTGAGACATTGAGAGGGATATAGTCATGGAAACGACCAGATGGCCCCTTATAGTCTCGAGACTCATAGGGTTTGTCTTCCATTTTCTTTTCACCTCCTCGAAGTGATGTCGAGGGTTCATCATTCTTTGAGACCTTCACATTTTCTCGATGCCGCAAGTCATGCACGTTGTTAGCAGCTTCTTTCTCCTCGTATTGGATGTACGCTTGTGCTTTGAGCAGTGGAGCAACCAGAGTGGTCGGTGATTCGATGCCAACTGCTTTGGCAAAGTCACTGTATGAATGGAGTCTACGCTCGAGGAAATACTTCTTTATGCTGTCAGTCGTGGAGACTTGTACAACTTCCTTGTTAAAATGTTCAATGAACGCTCGAAGGGGCTCATCCCTCCCTTGGATGATCGCCTCCAGCGATGCCTATGACTTGGGATGTCGGCGAGATGCCGTAAAATTCCTGGAAATTTGTCTTTCCAGGTTCTTCCATGGCGTGATGGATTCATCGGGAAGACTCTTGTACCACACCATGGCTCCTTTCCTGAGTGTGGTAAGAAAAAGCTTGCATTTGATTGCTCCTTGGATCCCTTGTAGTCGAGTAACACATCAATGTTCTCGATGTGCTCGTCACGGTCAACGGTTCCATCGTATGTCCCTAAGTTTGGGGGTTTCTCCAGCACGACTAGGAGTGTGGTCTCCATGATCTCTCTAGATAATGGATCACAAGGCTTGTCGTTGTCACTTCGATCAGAAGAGTCATAATGTCGGTGTCTTCAAGGAGGAGACTTTGGCTGCTTCTTTTCCCAGGTCCTAATCCTATTGCTTTATTGCTGGATTAGGGCGTTGGTTTGGTTAAGGACAGCGAGCAGAGCTTCCATGACCGGGGTCAGTGTTGAGAGGAATTGGAACTGGTTGAAGGATCGTTGGCAACTCCTCTCCGGACTTCTTGGATTTCTGGGTTTCCAGGAAGTGAACATCATCGCGAGGGGCATCAGTCAAATCGGGGGATGCAGTTCGACCATCTCTGACGTCGAGGATATCCTCGAGGTGAGGAGGTTATTCGTTTCCGTCCGTCTTGAGGACGGGGGAGAGCACATTTTTTCCAGAAAAGTGGTTGCCATCATGGCGAAAAGTTGCTTTGGTCTTCAGTTTTGGGGAAAAGGAAGACGAGAAAGACAATTTTCCACAGACAACGCCACTGATCTTATTGGTTGATCACAATCTGAAGTGGGCCGAGAGGGTGACGTCTGCTTGGCTGGAAATCTGAGGAGATGAGGAGTTGTACCTTCAAGGCACTCTGACGCTCATGTAAGAAAGAGTGCAAAGAGATATAAGAAAAATATTATAGTTTTTTAGAGTGATTATTGGATACATGGCCCTCACAAGTATGAGGATTTATATAATGTCCCTTGGTTCATATTTTTTGGCCTAGATATTAGGTTCCTCAAAAATAGGTAACTAGCAGGACTTGGTCAAAACGAGCGACCATGCTCGTAATTAGCAGTTGCTTCGAGCAAGAGGGATATTACGGGCAGGTGCATTTATAGGTGCTTCCTGGTTGTCTGTACTACGGGTGTCAGACAGACCTGGAGGTGAACGTCGATGCGGGCAGACACGCGATCAGGGAATCGTCGTCCCGACTAGACTTGTGGTGCAATCGACCATGCGTGCTCGACCGAAGGTCAGAGTTAGTGGACCAGAGTTATTGAACCATGCTAAATGTGAAAGCGAATTAGGTCAATTTTAACCATTGAGTCAGTCCAGTAACTTTTTTTCATTTTTAAATTAATAAGTTGATTAACTAATTCAAATAAGTTTAAAAAAATATAAATGGAAGAGAAAATAATATTTTTTATAAAAGTATCATTATCTTACAATATTAATATATTTACTTTGATTATAGTAAATAATTATATGATACAAGTAAAAATAGTAATTAATTTTTGAATAAATATCTTATTTTAAAATAGAAGAATTACTAACTAACCCGCACTCTGTTATTCTCTCTTTTTTATATGTTTTTTCTTCTCTCATCATTTTAAATACAAAAAAGTATGCATAATGCATTGGGCTGACAAAAATAAACACCAAAATCGAGTCGAGGGCCGGGTCTCTTATATCAGAAAAAAGGTGGTCAAAGAAACAAATATATTTTAGGACATTTAACATTATAAAATACTTTCTTTATTATGTCATATGTATTTGGTTACATATTTTACTCATTAATGAATTATCAATTATTAAAATAAAAGTAATTACTAGTGCTAGTTGGTAGTCTCTCACTCACTTCAGTGCAACTATAGAACAAAACTATATAAATATAAGTACCCATAGTATTAACTTATTCAAACCATATTCACCAACTTCATCACTCTCTTCTTCTTCTTCATATCACATATCATCATTAAAACTTTAAGTTATTCATATTTCTCATCACACTTCCAAATTATTAATACTATGGGAAGAGTAAAATCATGCAGTGTATTTTCTCAAATGGAAAAAACCCTAAACGACGCGGTTTCAAACAGTTTCATAGGAACATACTTCAAGTTACAACAAAGAAAAACATGTTTCACTAAAGAACTCCGTGCCGCAACCGCCACTTTCCTCACCATGGCCTACATCATAACCGTCAACGCCACCATCCTAACCGCTTCCGGCGGAACATGCTCTGTCGCCGACTGTTCTCCTCCGGCCACACCAGATTGCACGTTAAAGCCAAACGCCGGCTACGAAACTTGTCTCGCCAAAACAAAAAACGACTTGGTCGTTGCAACTTCCGTGACCGCCATGGTTTCTTCTATCGCTATGGGGTTACTAGCGAATCTTCCTTTGGGCCTTGCTCCGGGTATGGGGCCCAATGCTTATTTAGCGTTTAACCTTGTTGGTTATCATGGAAGCGGTGGTTCGATATCGTATCGGACCGCGATTACGGTTGTTTTTGTGGAAGGTTGTGCTTTTCTTTTTGTTTCTGCTTTTGGTTTAAGAGGGAAGCTTGCTAAGCTTATACCTCATTCCATTAGGCTTGCTTGTGCTGCTGGGATTGGGCTTTTTATTGCTTTTGTGGGCTTACAGAGTAACCAAGGTGTTGGGCTTATTGGGCCTGATGATTCTAATTTGGTTACTATTACTGCTTGTAAGAGTGTTGACCTTGAAACTGGGGCTTGCTTGGGTGGGAAGTTACAAAGTCCTAAATTTTGGCTTGGGGTTTTAGGGTTTCTTATTACAAGCTATGGTTTGATGAAGAATGTTAAGGGGAGTATGATTTATGGGATACTTTTTGTGACTTTTGTGTCATGGTTTAGGCATACTGAGGTGACTTATTTTCCTGATACATTGATTGGTGATGGGAATTTTAGTTATTTTAAGAAAGTTGTTGATTTTCATAAGATTGAATCGACTGCATGGGTTTTTAGGTTTAGTGATTTTGATAAAAGGGAAGTTTGGGAGGCTTTGGTGACTTTGTTTTATGTTGATGTGATTGCGATGACTGGTATAATGTATACTATGGCTGAGATTGGAGAGTTCGTGGATGAGAACGGGAATTTTGAAGGCGAGTATATGGCTTATATTGTTGATGCGGCTGGTACTATTGTTGGGTCGGCTTTAGGTGTTACAACGACTGCGACATTTGTTGAATCATCGGCCGGGATGAGAGAAGGTGGTAGGACGGGGCTAACTGCTGTGATTATAGGGTTGTTTTTCTTTTTGTCGTTGTTTTTTACTCCTCTTTTGTCGAGTGTTCCTCCGTGGGCTATAGGTCCTTCGTTGGTGATGGTCGGGGTAATGATGATGAAAGTTGTGAAGGATATTGATTGGAGTAATGTGAAGGAAGCAGTTCCGGCTTTTGCTATAATGATTTTAATGCCTCTGACGTATTCCATAGCAAATGGGATTGTTGCTGGTATTGGTCTTTATGTTGCTCTTAGTCTTTTTGACTATGCTGCAAGTATCATAAATTGGTTGGGGAAAATGAGAAAAAGGATGATCAAAGAGCATAACCAAGTGTCTGCCACTGCAACAAATGTTGACCCAATTGTGGAAATTATTTGAAATGTAGTTGTTGGTTTGGTTGTCAATTTTTGACTTTTAGGACACTTTTGGTTCTAAAACTCATGCTTATAGATATTAGCTGCTAAATGTATTGTTACCGGTTATTATAGGCTTATTCATAATGGCAACACATTTGAATGGATAAAGTAAAAAGTAGTAAGATGTTATAATGTTTCTACTCAGTGGCAGACAAGCACCACAAGGAAATCTGTGAATGTCTGAATGACATGAAGTAATGATCTTAAATTGAAAACCAGAACAAAAATAATGAGTGGAATACTAACAACAGTAATTAGATTTTAAACAGTTCTCATGTTTCCATTGTACACAGGGCAAAGAGGTAGCAAAAGAACAACTAAACATTGCAGCATATAACTCTACTAACATCACTTATGGTCTGTATGTACAGCGACGATACTTTCATACTTGTTTTCGACCTTGAAAACACACACATCGCCGGTTTTAATACTATTTGCTCTTTGAAAATCTGACCATCCACTTGTGAACCTAGTTTTTTCATTGCAAAGGACCGGCCACTTTCTCGTCAAAGGATCCTTAAGATACACCACCATTTTCTTCGATCCTTTCCCTACACAAGATAACGGCAAGGGTTCTGACAATTCCTGCAGTACATGCAAGTTCAAATGGTCAGACACGGACATTATAGTTCTGGGCAGAAAATCATATAACAATAGCAATGTATATAAACATATGCACAACTAGGGAAGTTAAATTCGTACAAGAGAATTGTTATCAGTGACAGTTGCAGTAGTTTTATCTTCCTTCAAATCTCTCTTAACCTCTGTCAACCCTGTAATCATACAGGTTAATGTAACCGACGCGACCACAAATAATGATAGTGAGAAACACAAAAAACACCTGTCACATTTATTTTATCGTCGATACTGCATAATTTGGGAGTCGTTTCCACCGGCGTCTCACCTGAAATCATATTAGCTGAATGATTATGTCGGGTGAATCATGCGACTCTTCCGAGAAAAAACACACATCAACTGAAAATACGCACCTAGGTAAATACAATCATCTAAGAGATTAGATTTTTTATTGAACCTCTCTTTGGTATTCTGAAAACCAGCAAATATCAATACACAAAGCATTTAATCAGATGGAAAATTACAAGCTCAAATAGGGATGATTAATTTCATACAAGACAGTCATTATCAGTGAGCACCTCACAGGAAATAGTTGCTCCAGTTTCAAAGTGACCTTCATTATTTTGATTAAGCTTTCCCTTAACCTTTGGCAACTCTGCAATTGAACAGATTCATCCGTGAGGTAGAAACAGGTAATGCAGTTTATGCAGTTTCAGACATATGCTTGCAGCCACAATAAAAAAACACCTGTTGCACACAATTTATCATTGAAAGGGCGCCGCCTTTTGGAATTCATGTTCATAGGCACTTTCTTCCTCTCACCTAAAATCATAACACTTGATTAACAAAACAAACAAAAAGGTTACTAAACGAAACAAACAAGAAGCTGTTCTGTTAATTGTAGTACCTAAGCCTTCAGCAAACTGGCACTCTTGAATTTCCTTTTTGGAGAAAAAGGATTTGCCCTCTTTGTTTTCTTTATGTTTCAAAATAGAAGTCTTTTCATATGCAATTTTGTCGGAATCACCAAGAGAATTGTTTCTTCCAGAAGTTTCAAGTTCGAATGCATGTAAGGCATGTTTTCCTTTGGAAATTGCCGCCTGATCACTCCCTAAAATAAACAAAAGAATCCCTGCTATCAAATAAATCGAAGTTATTAGGATATTTATAGTACCTAAGCTCGCAGCGAATGGGAACTGACCCTCTTGAACTTCTCCTTTGGACTCGCGCTCATTATTTTCTACTAGTGTCATAGCAGGATATTTGTGCTGCATTGCACAATTGTTCCTTCCAAGCAACTCAAGTTTTAATGCATATGAGGTATCTCCTGTACCCAACACTTCTTCAAACATAGGATCTTTGTTATAAAAGGATGCATCATTTTGAAATGCATGGCTTGTTGTGAAACATGTGTCTTCAATATATCCTAATGCACGCACATATTCAACCCTTCCATCCACATTACCATTTTCTAAAACATTTTCAGTCTGGAAGTTAGCAAGTGAGGCATTTGGATCTTTTCTAATAAACTCACCATTTCTATCTCTCTTTTTCCTAATCCTTCTCTTAGAAAAATCAACCCTTTCACACACAGATTCATCATAGATCTTGACACCAAATTTCAACTTGTCAATGCAATTGAATACCACTAAATCCCCGACTTCAAGCTTGTGATCCAGTGAGAAAACATTCCATCCTTCCTTAAAAGCTAAAGAACCATCAACATCTGATACAGTTACATAAAATCTACCACCACTTGAATCCTCAAGAGTGACGTTCTTACCAACCAAACCAGACATAGTGCGTTTTAACTTAGGAGGAAGATACTGCAGATATAAAAAACGGAAAATGTAAGCAAGATATAGAAATATAGCATATGAAAAGTAAAGTAAGATGATGATGGAGAAATATACCAGAAGTTTGAGATGGTTTTGATGAAGCATGAACTTGTAGAAAGAGGTAGGTTGGGTTGTGGTTGTTGGGTGAGGACGATGAAACATTCGACAGTGGTGGATACAAGAGGTACACACTTTAGGATTGCGACCCATGTTGCACTCTTGTTATGAATGTTCTAAGTTTTGAAAACGAAAATGGTGGCCTTGGGTCCTGGAGAGAGGTGAATATAAGGTGAGAGTTCACAGTTTGGTTGAGACAATGGTTGCTTGGTTAGCACGTTTAGTTTAGTTTTGCGCAGAGAAAAGCTGAAACGTATGACGCATGCATGGGTTTTGGGACGTTTCAGAAATCTTTGGATTCCAATATAAGGTGACAAAACAGAAGGAGACAATATTGGATTCGATTCTTCAATTTGGTTCAAATTCAATGGCTCTTTTCAATCCTAGTAGTGGCAAGTTCACGTGTTAGAAAATTTAGTGGCCATATTATAAAGACTAAATTGAGAAAGAAATTAGATAGGCACGTTTTTTTAGTTAGATGTTGATAGACTATAAAAACTAATGATTCTTGTTATTTTTTAAATAATAATTTTTTTTTATAATACTTTTAACTTTTTAATACTTCCTCATTTTTAAAATGAATATCGTTTAAAGTTTTTGTACACGGATTAAAAAAATACAATAATATTCATAAGACATTGCATTTTTACTAAATTAGCTTATGAATGAGTTGGAAATAATGCACAGATTAATAATTCAAGGACATAATTTGAAAAATAGCAATAATTGCTACACTGAAAAGTGAGAATGACATTCATTTTAAAATAAATTTTTTCTCTAAAACGACACTAATTTTGAAACGAAGAGAATAATTTATTTAACTTTCTCTCTCTAATAATGATTAGGGATAATTTTGACAAAGGTACAATCAATACTATCTTGAATTTTGAAATGTGATACTTAAAAAGAAACAAAAAAATTTCTAAAAAATGACTCTTAAAAAAGAATGGAAGGATTACTTATTTAGAGAGAGTACTACTTGTTAGATAAATTAATTTAGATTAAATAGGCTAGAATCGTAAGTGAATCATTTTTTATAGTATTTTAAATATTCTTAAATTGTCTTAGAGTTTATACACAAGAATACTCACGATAATTCAACTTTTTATCGAGTTTGCGCAAGACTGACGAAAACTCGAATATAGCGAAGAGTGTCTGGAATTTTTGGTAAAAAGGATGTGTATTTTTGTGATTTTTTCTGAATCTGAAATCCTCAATTTATAGGTCAAATTTATGTTTTTTCCTAAGATTGTGACCCTTGCTGAAACACACACCTTCAACAATACTTTTGCTAATTATTGTACTATTTTACCTACAATGGTACTTTTCAAACGTTGCATTATTTTTCCTACAACAACACTTTTCAAATGTTCTATTGTTTCACATTCTCCAACACTTCACAAAGTGTTGCCTATTTCTGAATTCAAAATACAAGATGCATACTACAACACTTTACAAAGTGTTGCTTATTTTAAAACTCTTCATTTTTTAATTTTCTTATCATTTTGGAACACGCCTATGTTCATTAATTATTATTAATTATAACAATTTCTCACTTGCTCTAATAATGACAAGATCAATTTCAGAGAAAGAAAACAAAGAATGTTAATATAGTTAAGTCTCTTTCAATTTGAACTTAACCTTAGTAAAGATAACGCAAAGTCTAATTGGAATATTAAGTAGTAACGCTTTGAACCGTTATCCCTTGTGATTAGACCGACATTACCTAACACACACTATTTAATGGTTCTTTTCCTATATTTCTCGCCTAGCACTACTTATAGCCATGTGTTTTTTCTGTTTTTCATAAAATTTTCATGGGAAAAACTCCAACTTTCACTTTGAGATGGCACCATCTCGAAATTCATATAGGTGAAGTTCAATTTGTATCTATTTCTTGAGATACATATCCTCAATATAAAACTTCATTAAGAGTTTGAAAAATCTCAAATCTCAATATGTAATAGTCAACATTATCATAAAATGTTGCACAAACATCCAAATCAATGAGTTGTTGTTACCCATTGAATCTCAGATTAAGATTTATTAACTCCATATTGGGTTATCATCATTGTCGGAACCCTTATTCAAGGAGTTTCAGTCTCATACCTCTTGAGGTAGTCTTTACTAAGTCTATGGTCAGTGACTTAGTAAATGGATCAACTAAATTATAGTTTGTTTGTATATATGTTAGTGAAATGACCTCATCCTCAATCAATTTTCTCAAGAAAGAATTAAAGGTGGAGAAAACACTTAGAAGGGGGGGGGGGGGGTGAATAAGTTTCTCTTTTTCTTTTGATTAAAAGGCACAACAATAATGGAAAGACAAGGTTATTTTTATCCTGGTTCGTTTGAACTCAAACTACTCCAGTCCACCCGCCAAGGTGATTTCGCCTTTCTCAACAAGGACTTAATCCACTATAATCAACTGATTATAATCACACAACAACTATTGTGATTAACAATGCACAAGTAACCTTACAAGTGACTAACACCACTAAGACTTAAACTAGTCCTAGTCTACTTGAGAATTCTGACCAACCTTGATCTCTCAAGGAACAATTACAAGAAATTAATCTTTACAGATAGTGAAACAAAGTTGTTGTGATTTTTCACTAAGAATATTTTAGCACAAAGTGTATGAATAATGAATTTGTGAGCCCGAAATCTTTCACGTTGTTCTTGCTTCTTTTGAAATTGTTCAGTTCTATTCAGAACTTCAGCGTTCTTGCTTTCAGTATGAGCAGTTTAGCGTTTGAGCGTTAGTTGGCTAGCAATTAATGTTCTTCTATATATAGCATGAGAAAACATGATTGTTGCTGCCTTCAAATGGAGAGAATTAAATGTTTGTGTGTTTCCTTGCACTATTCCATTTTCCAATGCACTAGCATAGACACTTGAGTGCATGTAGTCGTCTTTGCATTAAATGAGTAAACGGCACTATGTAAGAATATGTCTCCTGAAGCTTGACAAGATTTGTTAGCTTATATATTCTTCAGAGCTTGGCTCAACGTCTTAAATTCAGAACATGTTTGCTTATCTTCTAAACAATGCTTTGCTTGCTAAGTACTTCTGATCAGCGCTTGCTTTCTAAGATCTTCTGAACAAACACTTGCTTTCTAAGATCTTCTAAACAGCACTTGCTTTCAAAATCTTCTGAACAACACTTGCTTTCTAAGATCTTCTGAACAACACTTGTTTTCTAAGATCTTTTGAACAACACTTGCTTTTAAATATCTTCTGAAACAGCTTACACAGAAACTTGCTAAGTGTTGTACCCCAAAATTTTCCCTCTCACTTATCAAGACTTTTCTCACAAGATCTCTTTGACTCAAGACTGGATTAGGGTTTGGTCAGCTCAAGATATCTCATCTTACACCGTTGATCCAAAATTAGGGTTTGAGATTGCACAAGGATTTTTGGACTATCAATGCTTCATGTGACTTTGTTTCACTCATGACAAGTTTCAAACTTTAAGCCACATTTTTGGTCAGTCAATTGGACAGTTGACCTAAAAATCAATTGTATTAGGGGAAAAGTCAACCATGGCCAATTTACAATCAAACTTCATAATTTTTTATCCACGTCAACATTTTAGACTCATATGTATCATTTGATCAAGTTTGGATCATAATTCCTCAAGAAATTTGATCAAATCATCAAAAGGGCAAAATGGTCAAAATTAGGGTTTTGATTGAGGAAGGGAAATTTCTAATTTTTGACTTAGCAAATGAACAATTGAGTTAAAGTATGATTTCAAGGGTTCATTTTTATCATCTTGACCTAATTCCATATTTCAAAACATTTCAATTTCATTGAATTGACAGATGAAATTTGCAGTCAACTAATCAAAAGTCAACTGTACACTGAAAAGTCAAACTTTGACTTTTTGGTCAAAATCAAGTGCCAAGGGTCACAATTCATCAAAACATGTCAAAATGTGAAGCTTGGTCATCAAGAAATCAAGGATTGAAAGTTAGGGTTTAAAATTGAAAATTTTCTTAACTTAGAAATTTTTCTAAGTATAGAATTTTTTTTATTTTTTCTTAACTTTAACCATTTTTTCACCATGATACAAAATGATTCAAAGGAAATTCCCAACATAAAAGTTGTAGACCTCCATGAAATATACAGATTTTCTTCACACACTTTTCCATAAAGATGCTTGGATCTCAAGATATAAATGTATGAATACATGCTCATGAACTAATTAACTTAGTAAATTTTTTTCCCTAATTTAGGCAGGTTTTGGACCCAACTTCATGGCAATTTTTCACCTAGTTCCAAGAGGAGTCTTGAAATGTATTTCAAAGATGAGTTATAGAGCAGATTGCAAGACTTCTAAAATGTATAAGAACTCCTCAAGATCATTTTTGAGTAGGGAGAATCGAAGAGATGAAGTTGGCAATTTCTCACTTTTGATTCAAGCCATTTCATGAAGAACAAAGTTCCAATCAGTACCTATGCTGCCTAATCCATGCTTTACAGGTCCCAAACTTGTTTCTTACTCCTTAATTTAATTCTTACTCAGTCGACAAAGCTTTGATCCAAGCCTTAGAGCCATTACCCAAGTTGTAATTCCATAAATCGCATAAAGTGGCCATTGCCATTTTGAAAAAGCTCAACTTTTGCAAACTTTACAATCTTGAGCATTGAACATGTCTCCTTTGCACATACAAGTACCACAGACCTAAGACAACTTGTATAGAACAAATACCAACCCTAAGCAAGCTAGTACAAGCAGGTAAGGCCTTGTCCCTTCACTTTGCTTTAAAAGCAAGAAAGTGTGCAAAAAGGTGGGAACTTACGAATCTATTGGAGAGCTGACTTTAAATTGATTCCATACTAATATACAAACACATTACAACATAACACACGATGACTAGAAGCCTGAAACACTCCCAAACTTCCTTTCACCAAAAAAACTGTCCAAACTTGCAGTTTCTGCATAAGCATAGCAATCTCTTATTTGGCTCGTGCGTTTCAAGTCTTAACCATCAAAACACCTTACCTACTTGATATCTAACTGATCCAGACCCTCATCGATGTACTGTAACCCCTTTTCCATCATCTGCCATTTTTGTTTTCAAAGC